TTTTCTATTCTTCTCCTGTGCCGCTAAAGCCCCAATTTGGGCCTTGGCCTACCTCCGTGAAACTCTCCGTTTAATTTCGGTTTATCAGATCTTAACCGCCTCTGTGGTCTAGTCCTCAGCGTTCTTGGCTACAGATCCAGAGGTCCTTGGTTCTATTCTCGGGGCTAACATATTTCTGAGAAGTAGTGGGTCTGGAACGGGGTCCAATCAGACTCGTGATGATAATTGAGGAGCTATTTCAAGGAAATAGCGGCTCCGGTCTAGAAAACCGAAATTAACAGCCGTGCGGATTAATTGCGCTGACCACGCGACACCCTCTATCCGCAAAAGTTGGCACTAAGCTTCGCCGACAAGCTGCCGTCGCTCGGTTGGTATAGTTCGCTTGTGGACTAAAATCACGGAGTTTATTTTCTTTGTTTGTTACTAGATCTTAGACATTCGATAGGTCTCCTTGGGCGAGTGATCAGCTCGTAGCAAGGCCTCTACATGTACATAAACACTAAACATTCATGCCCTGAGTGGGATTCGAACCCACGATCCAGGCTTCCGAGGGAGCGAAGACAGTGCATGCCTTAGACCGCTCGGCTACCGTGACCGGCGATTTGCTCCAGTACGATAATACATTTTCCATAATTTATGGAAAACCATCTCCCTAAATGAAATTCAGTGTTAATATCTTCAGGAAATAACTGCCAACCCGAAAAGTCATTTCTGTCGAAACCGTGAGATATAAGATGGAAGAACTGGTATTGGAGAAGAGTTCTCTTGCAGCCTCTTTGCATCATAAGTTCGGTATTAATCCATACTCTTCGGTAACCGTCCCTCGAGACGCACGGTAACCTTGAGCAGGCAGCACGTTATCACATACTCGGCATCTAAGTTGGGGGTTTCGTCCCTTAACTTCTAATTCACTGTTTACAGAGTGGGGAAGTCAAATGTTATGTCTAGTTTCTGTATACAGCACAAAAAAGACTCCTTGGCATGTAGACCACAAGCGAACTATACCGACCGAGCCACTGCCGCTTGCCGGCGAAGTTAGTGCCAACTTTAGCTGATACAGAGTGTCACGTGGTCAGCACAACGGATTCCCACGGCCGTTAATTTCGGGTTTTTAGACCTGAGCCGCTATTTCCTTCAAATATATCCTCAGTTATCCTCACGAGGCTGAGTGGACCCCGTTCCACTACCTCTCAGAAAATCTGGTAGAGTCGGTAATCGAACCCGAACCTCTGGATCTGTAGCCAGGAGCTCTGACCACTAGACCACATAGGCAATCGTTCTGCATACAGATTGAAGAATTTTAAGGACAGTACGCCTCAGAGATTTTAAGCAGAAATTTTATTGCATTATGTTTAAGTAATTCACTACTTGTTAAAATATTTTCTCAGTCGCATAATTGGTTTACTATGATCCAGATCTTTTTAAAGGTTTTATTTAGTTGATACTAGCGCTGTTCCTGCGAAGTGGAATGCTTTATTGTAATTAAATTTGCTCAGCGAAACTCCATATTTAGAGTACAGAATGGCCTAAAATTCGGTCAACCTAAATTATTCTCTCGTATTAAAGGGGATATTCAGACATGAACTTGCGAGTCGATTTTGTAGAATGGTATCACAGAGTTGTGAGTCGTGCATTGCATATAATCTTACTTCGAACAGCTGTTGTAAATTTAGTAATTAATTAAGAAATTCCTAACGTATTTCACTGTACATTTCATAAAAATTTAACTAAATTTTGGGCATTTCTGTATTTGCAAAATGCTTTTGTTTCAGGCAGTAAGATTTATAACACACCATTAGTAAATTCCTGGAATATTTTAATTAATGTCTTTATCTGTAAGGGTGGTAGAACTGTGAAGTGAACAAACTTCTGGGTAACTCCCGCATGACCCACCACAGTAGCTATATGCAATATGCTTGGACGAAAATTTATGTCATATTGGAGGAAGTTTACAGATGTATCTTCCTTCGAATTAAATCATTCACAATTAAATTATACATCGCCGGTTACGGTAAACTAGCGGTCTAAGGCATGCATTGTCTTCGCTCGCTCGGAAACCTGGATCGTGGGTTCGAATCCAACTCAGGGCATGAATATTTAGTGTTTGTGTGTTCGTGTGTGTTATTCTGTGTTTGCGTACAGGTAGAGGCCTTGCGACGAGCTGATCACCCACATAAGGAGTCCTACCGAATGCCTAAAATCTAGCAAACAGAAGTGAAACGGAAATTTTCATGGAGGTAGGCCAAAACTTAAATTGGGGCTGTGGCGTCAAAAGGGGAAAAAATTACGCGTCGCATTCTAAAGCTTAAAGTTATTCTATTCACATTTTTTATGAAATTAATCAAATTTATACGTAGCAGATTAATCTAGTATATACTTGGTTACATGCATTAAGTAAGCGACTTTAAGAATGCTTTACTTAAGAAATAAACAGTTTAATTAGTTCAGTGTACTTTATTCTAATTAAAAATAGGTAATTTATGAGTTCCAGTAAGGCGTTTAGAAATAAACGGCCAGTACATACTTGTACATTCTAAACATCATTTCACCACTTCATTCTGTCTGCACGCCGTTACAAAGTACGTTGTAGTGTGGGCGTTACACAGTAGGGCAGAGTCGCCTACGCAGAGCGCAGACGCAGAAGTTAAGCGGGTATGCCGCTGCGATTCCTCAAAGAGGGAAATAGACGAGTGGTGAATTGTATACTAGAAAAATTCGTTTCATTTTTCTGGATACGCAAGATCATCTTGGATCTCCGGTTCTCACTGCTGTGAATATGAACAGTACAGTAACCTGAGTTTTAGGACATAACCTGACGTTGTGGATAAGCAAATCTCATCTTCTCTATGATAATCTAGATGTTTTTACTCAAAATCCAATGACATTTAACAATATTACCATAAAATCACAAAAGAGAAGCATTAGGAAGCGCTTTTAAATATGCATTTTCTTTGAATATGACGACACCAGACGTTAGAGAGACTACCTATTGGTAGAATTGATACTACTTAAACCATCACGTGCTTCGCCTATCGGCGTACTCTGTTATCATAATCTCTCTTGACGTCATTACGGTTTCACTTCGTAGAGAGACAGTGTCCACCATTGTCCGAAATGAGTCTGCTTATACTCCCAATAACATGCTAACATTTATTTGCCTAATGGAGCCGGGGTAGCTCAGTAGTTATAGAGACTAGGATAGGGGCTGGACGGCTGAAGAATCGAGGTTTAATTCATGGTAGGAACAAAAGATTTCTTTCTTCTCCGCAACTTCCATACCGGCTATGTACAGTAGCTGCCTAGACCCTTTTTGCCGGAGTAAAGCGGCAAGAGCGTGAAGCTGACCACTTACCTCCATCTTGTGCCGAGATTCAGAATGGTGGAGCTATACGACTACTCCTCCATGTCTTCATGGCGTGGAAGTTCACTAATTACGCATAGGGATAGCTTTACCTTGCCGGTCACGGTAGCCGAGCGGTCTAAGGCATGCACTGTCTTCGCTCGCTCGGAAGCCGAGATCGTGGGTTCGAATCCCACTCAGGGCCTGGATGTTTGTGTGCGTTTTTCTGTGTTTGTGTATAGGTAGAGGCCTTGCGACGAGCTGATCACTCGCCCAAGGAGTCCTACCGTATGTGTAAGATCCAGTAAACCGAAGTGAAACGGAGAGTTTCATGGAGGTAGGCCTAGGCCCACTGGGGCTGTAGAGCCACAGAAAAATAAATAGCTTTACCTTAGTCATAAGCTGAGGCGACTGTCGAAGGGATTAGAATGTCACAGGTCGTTAGCTATTTATAATTTAATTTTGTCTTCAGTCACTCATATCCGGTACACGCAAGTAAACTGCTTTATCTCACGTGATTCTCCTTTCTCACGCAGGACACATGTCTACCAATGTCACAGTTAATGTTGCATTTGTTTCCCACACGCGCGTATACAGCAAGGCGAAGGATATAGTGCGGGAGGGAAACTGTACTCTATGCTGAGTCGGGAGGCCGTGCTATCGTCCAAGTTCTTCTGTACTCTTTTTATACTTCCATGTTTGTCCCACTGAAACAGGGAAGCATCTATTTCGTCAAAATTTTTAATAATGCTAATAAAAATAAATGCATGTTCTGTATTTTCCTTCAAAGGTTTACGTCAGCCAGGCTCCATATAGCAGGCGTTGAAAAGTTGAGAAAAGTATATAATATTTTAGACCGAAAATCTAAATGGAACATATAATAAAGTCAAAACTGTGGATAGAATGATACGAGAGGGAGTCAGAAAATGGGTAAGAAATTGAAGTAAAACAGCTGTAATGGGTTCTGTTATGTATTTATAGTGATCAAGTGCAGAATTAATCACGAATGACGAATGCATAACTAACTCCTTCTTGAGAAGCTGCCAGTTGTGCAGCTACTCAAAAATTTCCCAGCATTTTATGGAACAAGAAGGTTCATTACCGTGTTCACAAGAGCCCTCCACGGGTCCCTATCGTGAGGCAGATCAATCCAGTCCATACCACCTCATCCTATATCTCTAAGATAAACTTCAATATTGTTCACCCACCCACGTCTTGGTCTTCCTGGTGGTCTCTTTCCTTCTGACTTTCCCACGAATAGCCTATATGCATTCTTCTTCTATCCCCATTCGTGCTACATGCCCTTCCAAACTCATTCTCCTTGACTTGACCATTCTAATTATACTTGGAGAAGAGTACAAGTTATGAAGCTCCTCATTATGCAGTTTTCTCCAGTCTCCTGTCACTTCATCCTTGTTCGGTCCCAATATTCTCCTTAGTATCCTGTTCTCAAACACCCTCAGTCTGTATTCCTCTCTTAATATCAATGACCATGTCTCACACCCATACAGAACAACAGGAAAAATTATAGTTTTGTATATTCTAATTATGAAGAACGTATAGCGCCGATAATATGAGAATGTTGAAAAAAGAATGCAAGCAAAATAATAAAAGTTGTTATTATAAAACTTAATGTTTTTTTATTAAATTAGTCGTAATAATTAAATACATTTCTGATATTCACACTCGCCATTTCATTTGTATTTCTAGAGCACAGGAGATTAGAAAATTATATCAGATAAAAAAAAGTTACCTCAACGCTTTATTAGAGCAACTGGAATTTCAAAATTCCATGCACAATAAGTATAAATATTACACCACATAAAAGTCATTTTAACTTCCTTCTGAATACAGAAAAAATAATATCTGAAACCAATAATGTTTCTACATGATCCATACTTCAGAAGTTCGCAGTATATTTTCTTGTGTGAACTCTTAAAAACTTTAAAAGTTTTTGTCTATATCTAGAAAGTAGAGAGGCGAGGATTAGGGCATGTGATGCTGTACCATTATCTGACCTCAACATGGTAATTGGGAACTGCTACTGTTTCCACCATGCAACAGCGTTCAACTAAGTTGAAGAACACCGTCGTTTTCAGAACACTTTCTGCCACAAGAAGTGCAGCACATATGAATTATTCGTGATGGAATATCTTCCTACTTAAAGTTAAAATGTTAGCCCTTTGAACTTTGGAATATTTCACTCAAATTAAGACCGTCTGTAAAAAAACAAACAGTTGCTTGCCGTTATCGGATATGCAAGAACTTTTATCATCCTGTCGTCTTATACTTTAGGTTGTCACGTAAGCATTTTCATACTTGTGGAGTAAAATGTTGCCCTGTCACTGAAATAATAATTATGTACTGCACTGTTACAGTTAATAAATAAATCCTTGCTCAGTCCACCAGACACCCTAACCCAACCTGAGTTACATAATTATGCCTGCTGGAACTTGCCAGTTACTGGAACCCATCAGTACGCGCCCTGTACCTGTACCGGGAACCATTATTACCCGACCGTCTGCGATGTGGCGATCTAATAACAGAGCCATAAGGCAGGTTCGCCTGCTTCAGTATCTGAGCGAAACTGTCAGAACTGGTCACGTCAGACAAGGCTTTGGAATACCTCGTAGCGAAACTGCCCCCCGATGAGGGTCCCCCACATTTGGAACAAGGGTATGGCACCGGTACTGCGGACGGGAATATGGGCCCCAGGGATTGTGGGCTCGACGTATTACCAGGGCAGTAAGGGTAGAAAATAACGGGAATAAAACCTATGACACCATAAGCGGGAGGAGACGAGGGTGTCGAAGTAATGGCAGGGCTCGTAGAGTTGCTTTCACTGGGAGACACCAGATAGCAAGGGCAGGAACCCGGACTAGGGACGATAGGTAGAGGGTAGGGAACGATGTAAACCGGCTGTCCGGGCTGTCCTGGTTGTTCTGGCAGTTCGGGTTGACTTGGTTGCCCTGGCAGTCCGGGTTGACCAGGCTGTCCTGGTTGTCCTGGCAGTCCGGGTTGACCTGGTTGCCCTGGTTGCCCAGGTAGTCCAGGTTCACCTGGTTGTCCTGGCAGTCCGGGCTGGCCAGGTTGTCCTGGTTGCCCAGGCAGTCCGGGTTGACCTGGTTTTCCTGGTTGCCCTGGCAGTCCGGGTTGACCAGGTTGTCCTGGTTGTCCTGGCAGTCCGGGTTGCCCTGGTTGTCCTGGGAGTACGGGTTGAACTGGTTGCCCAGGTAGTACGGGTTGACCTGGTTGTCCTGGTTGCCCAGGCAGTGCGGGTTGACCTGGTTGTCCTGGTTGCCCTGGCAGTCCGGGTTGACCTGGTTGTCCTGGCAGTCCGGGTTGCCCAGGCTGTCCTGGTTGTCCTGGCAGTACTGGTTGACCTGGTTGCCCAGGCAGTCCGGGTTGACCTGCTTGTCCTGGTTGCCCTGGCAATCCGGGTTGACCAGGTTGTCCTGGTTGTCCTGGTTGTCCGGGTTTACCTGGTTGTCCTGGTAGTCCGGGTTGACCTGGTTCTCCTGGCAGTCCGGGCTGGCCAGGCTGTCCCGGTTGTCCTGGTTGCCCAGGCAATCCGGGTTGTCCTGGTTGCCCAGGCAGTCCGGGTTGACCTGGTTGTCCTGGTTGCCCTGGCAGTCCGGGTTGACCAGGTTGTCCTGGTTGTCCTGGCAGTCCGGGTTGCCCTGGTTGTCCTGGGAGTACGGGTTGAACTGGTTGCCCAGGTAGTACGGGTTGACCTGGTTGTCCTGGTTGCCCAGGCAGTGCGAGTTGACCTGGTTGTCCTGGTTGCCCTGGCAGTCCGGGTTGACCTGGTTGTCCTGGCAGTCCGGGTTGCCCAGGTTGTCCTGGTTTTCCTGGCAGTACAGGTTGACCTGGTTGCCCAGGCAGTCCGGGTTGACCTGGTTGTCCTGGTTGCCCAGGCAGTCCGGGTTGACCTGGTTGTCCTGGTTGCCCAGGCAGTCCGGGTTGACCTGGTTGTCCTGGTTGCCCAGGCAGTCCGGGTTGACCTGGTTGTCCTGGTTGTCCTGGCAGTCCGGGTTGACCTGGTTGTCCTGGCAGTCCGGTTTGCCCAGGCTGTCCTGGTTGTCCTGGTAGTCCTGGTTGTCCGGGTTTACCTGGTTGTCCTGGTAGTCCGGGTTGACCTGGTTCTCCTGGCAGTCCGGGCTGGCCAGGCTGTCCTGGTTGTCCTGGTTGCCCAGGCAGTCCGGGTTGTCCTGGTTGGCCTGGAAGTCCGGGTTGGCCTGGTTGTCCTGGCAGTCCGGGTTGACCTGGTTGTCCTGGTTGCCCAGGCAGTGCGGGTTGACCTGGTTGTCCTGGTTGGCCTGGCAGTCCGGGTTGCCCTGGTTGTCCTGGGAGTACGGGTTGACCTGGTTGTCCTGATTGCCCAGGCAGTCCGGGTTGCCCTGGTTGTCCTGGGAGTACGGGTTGACCTGGTTGTCCTGGTTGCGCAGGTATTGCGGGTTGACCTGGTTGTCCTGGTTGCCCTGGCAGACCGGGTTGACCAGGTTGTCCTGGTTGTCCTGGCAATCCGGGTTGTCCAGGCTGTCCTGGTTGTCCTGGCAGTACGGGTTGACCTGGTTGCCCTGGTTGTCCTGGTTGCCCAGGCAGTCCGGGTTGACCTGGTTGTC